ATTTAGTTAACTAAACCTAAGCACAGGAAAGGCTTTAATCAGATTTTCAGAAATAGAGTTTGTCTATAATTTACACTTAAAATTTACAGCAAGTAACCTACATTTATAGACTGAAGTTATGGAAGTAGGACCCCACTTTGACCATAGGTTTAGTGTAATCGAGCTCCATCTGGTGACACTTAAATGTGGAGTTTTACAAGGCAGTACTGAAACTGAGTAACAGAAAAATCTCCACGAATTAGACCGTAGTGTACGGTAAACCAATTTCTGATTCTGTAGGTTTCCAATTAAATATTTTTTATTACTTTTCTTTTCAACAGTTCACCTTGCGCCTGATTCATAACTTTGATTATGTAAGAAATTACACAATTTAACTGTTTAATATTAATAATTTAATAATATAATTTTCCATTCAAGGCGTACTTATTTGTTAATTACTTCCCGTCAAACCAGTATGTGGGATTTTGAAACCTTGAATTCTTCAAATTTCCGCTTATAAAATCTGTCTTTTCAGCTAACTTTTAAACTATTAAATTATAATATACACTTTCTTGTTTATGCAGTAGATGACTGCAGAAATTGTAGTAGGCGTGATGTATCTAATACTTCATATAGCTTTGATAGTCATTCAAGCAGGGGTGGACTGGGGAGTTCAAGCGGCCCGGGAAAAAATCAAAGCGGCCGGGAAAAAATCAAAGCGGCCGGGAAAAAAAAAAAGCGGCCCTATCTTCATGACTTTTATTTGTATTATATCACCGGTCCTAGCGGCCCATCGGGAATCTTCCCGGTTTCCCGGTGGCCCAGTCCACCCCTGCATTCAAGCTTAAAACTTAAAAGAGTATATTATATATTTGTTGCAAGGATTACGCTTGTACATACATAAAAAGTACTTGTAGACACAATCACTATGGAGATTGTATTCTAAGTATTCTTTGTTGCAAAAAGTATTATCCATATTAGCACCACATCATTAATGATTAAAATTTGATTTTGTTAATTGTTCTTGAAATTGTATAATATGATTACAATAAACCATTTATGTGATGTCCTTAAGAGTAAAGCGTTCTGTTTTAGGGGGTTTGGCATCATTAATATAGTTTTAGTTCATTTACTTTTTCTTAGCAAGTGAAATAACATGTTAAAATTTGTGTTTATTAAAATGAGCTAATGAGGAGTTTATGGCTCTTAGTTGACAGCTTTTTGGGGGGTTTGACTTTCACCAGAATGGGTTCAACATCAAGAGATGTCCCTGCATTTGACCTCCAGTTTGAAACAACCAAAGGGAACGAGGAAGTCATCAAGCACCAGCTTCATTCACTTTTGATATGAAACCGAGTGCTCTGCAAGCTAAAACACAAATGATGATTCGACTCCCAGGTGGATCGCACAATCACCGTTGATGCCAATAATTCTACAGACAGGAGTAAAGAGAAATACCAGAATACTGCTACTTGATTTTATTGTCACAGTGTTATAAACATATTTGATATAGTGTTTTTTGTTTGCTTAGAGAATGAAAATATGTAAATCAACAGTCAAGGCTTTATCAACGTTTTCTAACTGATATAAGAAATTAGTTTTAACTACGCTGATCAATTATAATAAGGTTTTCTGTTACTTGATTAATGCATTGAAAATATAATAACTATTTAACTTTTCTGTGCTAATGAAATGGAACTTACAAGCAAGGGCTGGAGCTTCATATATATGTAGCTATATTTTCCACTTGTTAGTACGCTTTATTTCTTTAAAATTCATGTACATACGCCTATCAAGTTCTTCATAGTGTGGATTAGATAAATGTTAATTATAATGGTGCATTAATGATAATTGTTGTAATGTTATTATTTTAAAAAATTGTTTTGTACTTTTTATTGTCTGAAATCAACCACTAACTAATTAATTAAGTTTTTTATTAAAAGTAAAATTGAAACGGGTAATTATTATTGGCTTCTAAATCAATTTCATATGGTTTTTCTCTTATCTGTAATTTTTATATTTGATTAAGAATGTTTGATATGTGATTAAATTAAATAAGTAAACGATGTGCTATTTTTATTTTGCTAATGTTATTTATTTGTGTAAATAATAACTTTATTTTGTACCTGTTTTATCAATGAATATTTGAAATTTGATATAAATTATATGCCATGTGGATTATAAATTTGTGCTTTTATAAGGTTAAGACATCAGTTCCAAAGTAGTGGCTTTTTTTTCCAATGATATTGGTAAGTACCATCTTAATGCATTTGAACAAATCCCTTTAAAATACTGAAATGAATATCAATTCTACTTTATCATTGTTATAATTGCTCTAAATAAGACTAGTATATTTTATAAACAAGTCAGACATGTATTATAATGTTAAAGGTAAATCTTAACGATAGTCCAAAATTCATATGCTATATTTATTAATGTGTTATTTAGTCACGTTAATTTGATGTCGAAATTGCCTCAGGTATTATAGGTACCGTGAAACTCAGTCCACTGTTGTGCCTATCTACATGCGGCTTGTGAATGACTTCGTTGTTTTGCGTCACAGTTTTTTAATAATACTACATCTTAATCCATTATGAGAAAAAGTTGAAGAATAAAATGACATCTTATTTTAGTCATGAAAATTTTAAGTATTTTTGGAATTTTTTTAGATGTGACTTGACACGAAAAAAAATGGGGGTGGGGGGTGGGGTGGGGGTTTAAAGAATTTGTGACACACTGGGAGGGGGTCTAAAAATGTCACTTTTTGCGTAACGTTATTTGCGAACGACCCCTTACAGTAACATCACTATATCGTACCGTAAATATAAACTAAAAGACCGCAGTGACCCATTAATTCGGTATTTACCTCATTGAAATGTAACGGCAGCCAGTTGACAGTATAATAGGTTTTATGTATTTCTACTGTGTACATTTTTTAAAAGATTAATGGAGTTCGTTTATTGCTTTCGACGGATGACGTCATAGAAAGTACATTTTTTCAATTCCCGATTCTAAAAGTACGGAACAGGCGTATATTTCTACTGACTTTGCAAGATAAATAGCTACTTACAGGTAAATATATACGCTTGCAAATCCAATTAATCCTAGTAGGTCAGTTAATATTACTAAGGTTTCTGTGCTAGAATCTCATTAACTTTCCTACCAATTAACGGCTGTGACCATCTTAGCGGAAGATCAAAGACATTTTAAAGTTTAGTTGATGAAAAAAGAAATGAATTAATTTTTTTTTCCCACAGCCTTTTAAGTTAACAGACCCAACATTCACACACACCCACATCCTGTAGAAACTGTTCAAGGTATTGATTGAATACAGGGGAATTAAAAATTTGGACACAAAAGTCAAGAGTTTTTTAGGTTGAAATCATCTGGCTTTATTATCATAAATTATTCTATGAAATGACTAATCAAGAAGCATTAATATGAACTCTCTACAGCAGTTTGTCTGAAGATTTTTATATGGTTTTGGGCTATGGTGGAGACGGAGTTTATGTGGCGGTGTATGCGTGTGGGGGAGGGGGGAGTCAGACGCATCTTTCAATTTGCACACTTTCTTTTTGTTAAACCATAATTTATAAATGAAGAGTTAAAGTTATTTCAATCTCTACTGCCCCCCCCCCCCATTTAAAAAAAAAAGAACCA